TTCCCATGCAAATTGATTAGTTATAGGTAAAGCTGTTTATTTTTTACACTTTTATACTTGCGAAGAAAGATGTGTTATATTATGCAAATAATATGCGGCTATTTGTTGTACAATTTCCGGACAAAGAAGACCTGTCTTTTGGCCATTATCTTGTTTTATTGCTTTGTCTCTCGCTATATATATATATCCCTCCCCACCCCCACCTCGCCCCCGAAGTCAGTCACTTCAGCATGATTATTAAAACCTTTCTGACCTAGAAAATATATATATATATATATATATATATATATATATATATATATATATATATATATATATATATATATATATATATATATATATATATAACAACAAGAATAAGCAGATCATTTTCCGGATTGGAAATCAATTTCCTTCGTAGGTAGACGTTGTACTTAATGCATTTAATACCCTGAGTAATTATTTTCTAAAGTTATAGTTGCTGAATACATTGAGATGGATCTCTATATGCTCTGTCAAAGAAAGTTAAAATGGAATAGTCGCTGAAAGAAAATGTATATTTTTTGTATTATTAAGTCTCGTGGCGAATATGATATAAACGGAGATTGATAGCAACTGCCAGTGCGAAAACGATGGGAATATAAGTTTAAATTATAGATCCTTGAGTAAATTGAAATATTTGACATATTTATATCTGTAAGGCGGTAACGCTTGCTACAATTTTTAAACGTTTACATGGTATAATGTAACGAAAAATTACATTGTTTAAAGGAAACTATTCGAAATGCAACCTTTATACCGATGTGTCTAAGGCCGTTGATGTATAAAGAATTGCATCTGGCTCAACTGGAGACTCTTCCATTGTTGCTTCTTATTGATTCAGTTCTCAACACATGTCTTTTTGCTGCACGCATCAGGTAAGACAGTCATACGTAGTGCTGACAGTTTCCAATTGCTACTTGTATATATATGTGAGGAAAAAAATCGATAATGCAACGCAAGAACTTGATGCCTGCGCCTGATTGTGTACGATTTACGATCACTAAGAAACCCAGTAGTAGCTTACAAATTTGAGATGTTGTTATTTAACAACCAAAAAATGTTTCCCGTAAAGTTTATTTTAATGAACATGTTGTTTATATGTAAATAATGCTGTTTTAATTTTTTTTTACAGATCAATAAATCAACCTGTTGTATAATAAGAGATATTGCCAATTCTCGTTAACTTCGGCTTGATAGCGATGACACATTTGATGGGAACATGCTCAATGTTTAAAAAAGGAAAGAATTAACATAAAAATATCTTGCCAAAACGTCGTCCTCACAAAGATGTTAAATATATCATTTAATTGGAAAGGACAGTCAGATGTATGGTTACCGATTTTGTAACGGTTGACGAGTAATAAATTAAACAGAGTCGTTTACACGTGTAAACGTGTGACGAGTAATAAATTAAACAGAGTCGTTTACACGTGTAAACGTGTGACGAGTAGTAAACTAAACAAAGTCGTTTACACGTGTCAATGTTGACTAGCAAGAACATAAACGGAGGTATTGGCTCGCCAGTTAAATATAAAAATATAAATAGTTCTCTAAAAGTAAGATAAAATATATGGCCAAAACTTATAATCAGACCAGGGGGTGCGAGATTTGATTGGTGGTGCTTTTTTACGGTTATTTTGGTTTTTACTATTAAACACTAGACTAAAACCAAAAAACAGTGAGAGCTACCATCGGTTAAATTTAGCTATAAAATTAATAAGTATTCAAAACAAAGATTTTAAATGCCCAAATAAATGACCGGTCACACACACACACACACACACACACACACACACACACACACACAACTAATAATAATAATAGATGTGTGTGTGGCTAAAACACTGAATAGGTGTCTATGAAAAGTCAAATACACCGAACCTGTACACACAGCATAGACACCTGTAAAACCCCCAAAACCCTATACACATTAAAACACTAAACACTCAAGTAAAAATACAAATAACTATAAGATGGCTGACCAAGTAAATCAGACTCTAGCTAAACAAATATTCAGTTTTAATATCATTATTTTTTAAATTTTTCTTTTTTTTTTTCTCCTACCACTTTTACACTTTCTCTAGCTAACACGCCTATAACACCTAATCTACCAAATGATGACAGTCATTCCGAAAGAAATAGGGGTATTGAAAAAATGCCCGCAGCACGATGCGGGAACAAAATTAGAGTAACGGATTACTCTATCGCCCCGATATAGACATTATACGGTGACCTAAAGCCCATCAGGTCCCGCTGCACAAAGCAGCAAACGGCCCCTAAAACTAGAGTACCCAGTAAGACCCCATATATATATATATATATATATATATATATATATATATATATATATCTATATATATATATATATATATATATATATATATATATATATATATATATAAAATATATATATATATATATATATATATATATATATATATATATATATATATATATATATATATATATATATATATATATATATATATATATAAATTATTTCGGTTATAGTCCATAGCATATCCTGAAATTATTTTTAAAAACCTTCTTTTAGTGTGCTATGATATATAGATGATATTTTCTTTCCTATGTTACCGGTAATACCGGATATATGTTGCGTCGTGTGGTACCCGAAACATGATTATTTCAACGAGCAGCAACGCCACGAGTTAGAATTCATGTACATAGTTTATGGTACCACAAAATATAATTATCCGTTGTTAATGTAGGAAAATGAAATTTTCTTTTTATTATACACCAAACTTGCTCTAGAATCGAAGATTAGAAGAATGAACTTAGTCTTAGAACAACACACTCACTGCACCCCCTTTTCGTACATTCACTTCTTTTAATGGTTATATACACCATACGTGTCTTAAAAAAAACGGCAAAATTGGGTACATTTCGTACATTCACTTCGTAGAATGGTTATATACACCATACGTGACTTAAAATAGCGGCAAGATTGGGTAAACCTAATCTGTTATAGTTTGTCCTCGTCAAGAAAGTAATGTTAAATAACATCAGAGAGATGCGTACAACGTCTGGTCAGATTTCTTTCTCATAGATAATTTTCCATGTTTGAAATACAAGGTAGTTTCTGTTTATTTGTTATAGTTCACAAAGTACTCGTTTTTGTTGTTACAAATACAACTTTTGTCGGCAAACACGATCAAGTGTTATCTTATATTTTCATGTGAAAGGACATTGTTCACATGTGAGAAAATAAGGATATATTTTTCACTAATGAAAATATAAGGACATTATTTTCACATGTTTGTGTTTCTAGTGAATATGTAATTCGAAAAAATACAATTCCAGCCCAAATGAACCACTGGACACAACAATAATACAACTGATTCTGCTCAGATCTTAGACACAAATAAATAATTATTCCAGTAACAAGGTTATATAGCCCTCTACTTAACCTCAGGTCACAATTAGCATTTTATTAATTTTAAAAAAAATATTACCCAATGAAAATTTCAGTCAGGAAGGCTCTAGATGTTTACAAGATTTGAATAAAAGTAAAAGGTCTGTTACTAAAATTATAATATGGAGCGTGGAAAGAAACGGGTATGACATTATAGGGGAATTAACTTACTAAACCCAATCAATATGTTTACTTCTATTAATAATTAAATAATATTAAACCCATACACAGAGAATATTTTAGCTATGTATGAGTTGTTTACAGAATTATAAAAGACCAATGAGTCAGCTCATGTGCAAAATGAACTTGAATTTGGACTAGGTCAAGTCCAACATACAATATTTCATTAGTCATAACGAATAATGAAATAAAAGATATCTGAAGAAAACAAACCAAACTAACAAACAATGCAAATTAAATACACGTAACAATTGTCACCCCATATATATATATATATATATATATATATATATATATATTTATAGACATATACATATATATATATCTACATATATATATATATATATATATAAATACATATATATATATATATATATATACATATATATATATACATATATATCTCCATATATATCTACATATATATATATATACATATATATCTACATATATACATATATAGATACATATATATACATATATATATATATATATATATATATATATATATATATATATATATATATATATATATATATATAATGTTAAAGAGTTTGGTGAATATGGAGTACAATTGGCAGCAAGATTACTGTTCACCACCATACACACAAACACACACACACACACACACATATATATATATATATATATATATATATATATATATATATATATATATATATATATATATATATATATATATATATATATATATATATATATATACAGACAGACAGACAGAGAGCAATAAATAACCTGGCATAATTTGTTTATGAATTATGTAAAACTCCTGATAACGCGTCTGCATTGCAAGGTACATTATTTTACAATGCAATACGTAGATGATTGGATCGTGAAAAGTAGGTTGTAGTCGCCGATTGTCTAAACGGTGAAGTAATCCTCAAGAAGTATCGATATATCATCAAATTGCATGACGTTAGAAAAAAATATAGATTTTTAGCAAAATGGAAACATGGACGCAAATCACAACAGAGATTACGGTGATGTCATTGCCTGAACGGTGCAGATCTCCGCATGGTGCGTCTACTTAGTTAAAAGACTTCACTGGCAATAATAATTGAGAAACTGAGCTGAACGCGAATGTTAATCAGTGATTCTACCGAAATAAACGGAAGAACCGACAATCATCATCAATCCACTGCTGACCACTTTTGCTTTGCGCTCCAGTCAATAATGCACATCAATGATGAAATCCCCCTACACCTCTTTTACCGTCTAAAAAAAGCCATAGTACGGTTGGTTTGATTACTTTAATGACATTTTAACACATTATCTGATACACAATGGGGAGTAAATAGGAACAAAGTGTCTTTCCTAAGTACATACCGAGGCAGCCGATCCCGGATGGCACAAGCGGATATTGAACCCACCACCGTTGGATTACGAGTCCGGCGCTCGACCAACTGACCTATTGCACCCTTTAATTTTAGAATAATAAGAAACATGCGTATAAATACATCATCGTTGGATATAATGAACATGTGCGAACATGGACACGTTGGATACAACGAACAGCACTTTGATTTGAAAAAGTTTTGTTTAGCAACGCATTTATTCAAGGGAGCCCCGAGTGGCCGAGTGATCTAAAGCGCTCTCCGTTAAGGATCACTGCCATCTCATCTCTGTCTGCGTGGGTTCGAGTCTAAGATTCGGCAAATGTGGATATGTGAGAAAGTTTGCCAGTAGCTTCTCGTGGGTCAGTGGTTCTTTCCGCGGATTTCCCGGTTTCTTCCTCCACCATTAATACTGGCTGCCATGTATAGCCTATCGTGTGCGGGAAAATGGCGTTAAGTCCCAGAACAACAACAAGAACAACAACAACAACAACAACATTTATTCAGTAACAAAAATAAACTTTTCTACTTTATTACACACGGTAAGTTGTAAAAAGCACGTTGAATAGACATTGTTTTCTATCTTGTTGATGTAAATTAATATAATCTCTTAGTTGAGTTAAGAGTTAAACAAAATAATAATCGCATATAACGGATCTAATATAAATGATAACTTCAGACAAAATTTATAAAATGAGTCAAATATCTTCAATATTTTCTGAGCCACTACAAGCAAAATGAGAGAATTGTGAAATTATTCGACAAGTTTCATAATTTAGTTTTAGAATTAGCACAAATGTCAGATTTTATTAATTATTAATTATATTATTAAGTTTTATAATTTAGTTTTAGAATTAGCACAAATGTCAGATTCTATTAATCAGAAGACGAGAAATATTGATTTTATTTCGACTTAAGACAGCTTCCGTGGCATAGAGGTTAGAGCGTAGATGGAGGATGTCGTGGGTTTGATCCCTGACCGAGTCATACCAAAGACTTACAAGAATGGTACTAACAGCTGCCTCGCTTGGCGGTCAGCATTAAAAGGTTAGTGCTAGGATTGACCTGGCGGGACAACGATGTTACCTATCTGCGGTATGATGCTCAGTGCTAGACATCACTATAAACTGCCATACTGCAGATATGATATAGATATGACAGAAAATTGTTAAAAGCTACTTTAAAAATCCAAATTACACACACACACACAGACACACAGACACACACACACACACACACAAACTTGATTTAAGTGTAAAGTACTGATTAAAAAATGACTGGAATACAATCAGATGCCTCGGTTATTATGCGATAGCCTTATCTGACATCATTAAGTGATTTGTGACGTGATATATAGAAAACTTGTGAAGGTATATTAACGCCAATGATACGTTTAGTCCTATGATATTTCGAACTATATGATATTACTAAGTACATGTCTCAAAGAGTTATTTCCCCTTTACATCACAACAGCTAGTAAGATTATTAATTTCTTCTAAAGGGGCAGGGGCCAGTTGTTATGTACAAATTTAATGCCGCAATCAGTGACCTAGTACAAAAAATCATAAAAAAATCAAATACACAAGTGAGGTCAAGAATGTCCATATTTTGAGATACCTATATTAAAACAAAGCATAAAAATATTATCCACTTGACCAGAGAAGTCAGTGGCAGTTCATAGCAGAAGTTTATGCACCCCAACCCCAAATTTATACCTGCAATTTTCATGTCCGAAGGTCATTTTTGACACCATGTGGTAGTCACAGTGCAAACACAAGCCCTTTTCCTAGATTACAATTCTGCCAAACAGTGTGTACTAAACAGGCTGATGCAGTTGAAAATAGTTGTCATCCAAGCCGTTTTTGAGATATGCTCCTTGTCCCAAACCCACATGTTTACTGTTACGAGAGGCTAGCTCTTCTTCGTAGACAACTATTAGTATTTCACTATCAACATATTGCTGAGTAACTATGGAAGGTGTACATGCCTGACATCAATTTCAAGAACAACACAAGCCCGAAACACCTAAGTCAAAAATATATCCATATTATATATTTAATTAGTAGACAATAATTGCTGAAAAAGTCACACCATAGCCTTAAGTTAAGAAATTTGCCAGGGGCCAAATTACGAAACTGTACCCTGCCTCCTAAGGAGTTTACTATTGAGTACTATTCCAAAAAATGCCGCCATAAAGCATTACAGAATTTATTCAAAAGTAATTGACGATATAGTATAGTACTCACATCTTAATCATTGCAAAAGAACCAAATTTGTTCACATAATTTGGGTTTAGTGCCACAAACAAAACCTAAACATCTGCAAATCCAACATGAATTTCCACCAACCTCTTTCAGATCGCAATATCACTTATTGCCAGAGGTGATTGTATTATAACTGAGAGATTAAGTCAATTGGCGTGTTTTCAATTGAATGGGAATTCAATGGAAAAGAAAGTGATCCACAATAAAGCTATCAACATCAACCTAGCGTATATTTTAATAAGGACGAGAGACCGAGTTTCCTCTGACCATTACCACCCCATGTTTGATATTTGGACATTTATGTTGGGGTGTAGGGTCAGATTCCATTCCCTATCGAAAGTTGGAATTCGCCAACACCATTTGGTGTCGACATAGGATAGCCACCTACTAACCGGCATTAACAAATTTTAACGACCTTTCATCGAGATATACCTGCATGAAATCGATAGGAATATGGTTTATTTTCTCAGAAATAGCGAGTCTTGCATTTGTTATATCTGTAATCCGCTGAAGACAAAATACAATTATTGCGTTCACAAGATAGGCTATACATGGCGGTCAGTTTTAATGGTGGAGGAAGAACCCTGCAAAGCCCGGGGAAGAACCACCGACCCACGAGAAGTTACTGGCTTGCTTCTCACTAACCCACGTTAGCCGATTCTGGACTCGAACTCACGCAACAGAGAGATGGCAGAGATCCGTAACGGTCAGCGCTTTAGACCACTCTGCCACTCGGAGCCCCGTAAAGGCATGTACTGAAAAAGTAGTATACAGTTGTAAATAACTCTCCACTTTGTTCGATAAATCTAGTTAATCCATAACGGACACTGACCACTTGACACTTTGGCGAAAATATACGAATCGCCTACTGCATTAACAATTTTAATATTTTATTTTAGTGTTTTGTATTCCTCCACAAGTGGATTTGTGTAAAGAATTGCTACTCTCTCAAAAGAGTTTATGGTTTTTTTATCTTCAGTGTTGTCGTATACCAGTTGGTCTTGTGAATTTTAACTTTTGTTTCTAGAAACATCCCTACGTCGTGCTGGCCTAGCAATGTTATTATTTAGTTATTTAATGATCTTGCATACGTAAAAATATGAGATGTCCCTTGTCGGCATATATTGCTACTTGCCTGCTATAACTATTTAGTTCGAAAGCCAAATGGCAGTGTAGATAACCGTATTCAACATCACTGTCACGAGCCTAAGAATACAAAAGCGGTCAATCACCTCTTTGAATGAGTTGGCTTTCTTCTGATTGTTTAAATGTTAGTAGTTATATAATAGTAAAATTCCAGATGGATTTCTTATTATGGACAGTAAATACACGTTATTCGGATAATTTATTATGCATTTTATGTATCATCCATTGAAACTCATCTCTGAGTCGTCTTAGACGTGGCTATTCGTAGATGTAGGTGACTGAATATCACGATATACATTCTCATCATTGAAGTAATCATCATAGGTCATTCAAGTCATACAGACGTCGGAACCTGAATCCCAACACCGGGTATTTTCCGACTTCAGCTAGATTCATGGACTTTTCGTAGAAACAACATTAACGTATATCAAGGTGCATAAACGCTGGTCACTTAAGGATTACGCAACTGAGTTCCCATTCAGACTTATGAGAACCGCACAAAGATCGGTGGCAATGCTTGCTTGGAAATGTATAATAACCACTGTTTCGTTTCTGGATCCAACAGAATATCAATTATTCAGTTTTTCCATCTTGGTACATAAGGTGCGATTTGCATCGCTTACGTTAATGCAAAGAAAAATTGCATAGTTAATTTTGTACTGCAGACGATGACATAGTCCGATTGGTTGGTTGGATGGTTGAGAGGTTAGTCGGATGGTTGACGGGTTGGTTTGATGGTTGACGGTTTGGTTGGATGTTTGACAGGCTAGTTGAATGATATTTTGGTTGGTTGATGTTTAACAGCAGTTTCAGTACTTTGCTAAAGTTCATGGATTTTCACAGTACAATACCTTTTCCCAAGATTGTTAGTATCGCCGCGTAAGATAAAGGACGCAATGAAATTACTATTATTAATACAAAATGCAGAAATAGCACCGTATGATTAAAACATTTTAATTTGATACGACAGTGAGTAACCTTATACTTAAGCAAATATGTGACTTATTAAAAAGTATAATCGGCTATTGGACTAAATAATGTATTTAGTTTGAAAAAGAAAATACGTTTTTTGTTATTGATTATAACTGATTCTTAATTATAAAGATATTTGTTGAGCCACCCACCCCAATTCGGGATCATTACCCATACTGCTGTACAAAAATCATTTACAAAGGTCGTACGTTTTCCTCGTATACATGAATTTACATACATGTCTGATATTGAAGAATAGGGCTAGGGAGTGTCAGGCATAATTTTGTAAATTTAGTTTATATTATTAATCGTGTTCATCAAATCACTACAGATTGAGGGCGAGGAATGTGGGTCGTCAAAATGTGAGTATTTCCATTAGTTGTAGGAAAAGAAATTGCTTGACGGACGGACAAACAATCGGATGGGCAGACCGGATAACGAACTTAGGAATGGACATGCAGAGGACATTACAACGTAAAAATTGTTGTCATATGAGAGTATGGAAATAATGTCTGTTTTAAGGGATCATGTTTTTAGATGCGATTTTTATCTAAACCTTATGATACTTGAATTTGCGAGTTTGAAGTTTATACATAGGCAAAATATGCATCGAATAAATGTTTTGAACTTCACGATCAAATATCATCATACTCTTGCTGTCTACCCTAGTATTCTAGTGTCACCTTTGCTTTTCTTAAACAA